TTTTTTATACTCAAATTTTGGACTCTCTAAGTTTTATCGTATTTATTTAATGGCCTTTACGCCCAATTGGATCCATCGTTATTCTACGTTACTTAGCCTTGGTCCGTTTTGTTTGTTTTTATGTTATTCAATGTAACTAACAATAACCGATGACCATCAAATAACCAATACAGTGTGTGGCGACGTCTGAGAGACGGCCTAGCGCTCGTCTCTGTGTGCAAGTGTATTTTTGGTTTACTGTCCTATAGTATCCGCCCCCCTCTCGCATCTCCACACAGAGCCCCCCCACATATCAAATCCCAACTTAACCCCTGGCTATCGGCACATTAAAGGTGATAAACTGAATGTTGGTGAGTGTAGTTTACTCATGGTAACTATTTTACTGAAATTATGAAAATTGACGGGTGCATTTGAAAGTTTCTCTCTAATTATCCCAATTGCTCTTTTGATATTTAATTTTTTCTAACTTCAGATTGTGGCATCTGGGTATAGAAAATCCTTAAAAAAGTTGAACAGTTTTCTCCACATTGACACTTTTTAGCTTGAAAATCTTATAAAAGGGAAATAACTTTCTCATTTATGACGTTTTGGTGCAAAGGCAAGCATTACCACAGTTGTATATAGAGGCGTGTTTAATCATCTAATCACAACACTATAATAATAACTTGTTATGTAATGTGGTGCTACCTATTTATTTATATATACGGTATATGAAGCTTGTATATGAACTGCTGTAATGCTTGTGAAATACTTGTTCATATCCCAGATGAAAATTGTGTAGACTGAAAAATCTTTAATAACAGTCGGAGACGCAATGTGTCTTACCTTGAGTTGTGCTGTTGTGCCGCATCTGTCATACATTCAAGTTATTCCCATTCAACTATTTATATTACAATTTGAAAATTTATTTTTTTATTAGTATGTTTAATGCTTTTAAGTTAATCTACGTCAAATATAGTTGTATTGACAATTTAAATTGCATTACCAATTATATATACACTTGCATAAAACAAAGGCTAAAAGATATGTCTCTCAGCTCTTGTCTTGTAGTGCACTTCCTACTTTTACCACTAGATGGTGTTAGGCCATACATTTGGCTCCCCAGAAAAAACATGATGATGAAACTTTAGCCTTGTTTGCCAAATTAAAATAGCAAACATCGTTCAAAAACCTACTTGGTCTTTCATATTGTGGTCATGTGACAAGTAATTTAAGACAAACAATTTGTTCATGATAAACGGTGGTTACTTGCACGGAGTATATGCGCACTTCATTTATTTATCTAGCTATATCTAGCCACTCCACCTATGGCATAGTAATTTGGGCAAAATGTCACAGCTTTACCCTCAAACTTCACAAAGATTTAGAAGCAAAAAATTAAAGGAACATTTCTTGAAAAGCAATACAAATGGACTCCACAAAAAGTGTAGATCTTTTTATTAGGTCAAATGATCAGTATTCTTGATCTTTAATGCCTACTAGGTTGCACCTATCCTGCAGTCAGAGAAGCTCTTAAGCAAACCATGCAAAGCCGTTCCACTTTAGCTGCGAGACCTTTCCGATATTATGGCAGTGACCCACCAGCTCACCTTTGAAGCAGTGGTCAATAAACTCAATGCTTTTAATGCTGTTAAAAGCTCCATCCATTTCCTGTGGACTGTTGTAGTTGCACACTTTTAAGGCAGAACACGATTTACCCCCACAACCTAAAGAATGTTTCCGTAATTGCTACTACAGTCAGATGAACAGAGATAGATGTTTTACGTGCAGAGACCACTCCTTTCTCTAATTCTCTAATGTATGATAAGTGATCAAAAAGTGAACAGTTAATGTGCCATTACTGCAAAAAAGCAAAGGGCCTGTGAACTGTACAACTCTCAAGATGTTGTCCTATTCATGCTGCAAATGTGAAAACATGCATGCATCATATTACATTAGAACTGAACACAGAAACGGTCCTGAGAAGATTTATTCACCTTTTGTCTTCATATCCATTCAAAACCCATTGTGTTTGAAGATTGGTGTATTTTAATGGATTTCTTTATTTGCTTCTACATTGGTGGCTTTTATAAAAAATATGTTTTGCCTCTTCTTAAAGACAGAAAAGCTGTTGCTGTAATTGTTGGAAAGCACCCCGTTGAGAACTAACCCTACAGCTCTTTATATCACCTGACACAGCCACCAATCTAAAGCACTGCTTTCTCTTTGAATTCCTCATGGCTCTATGATGCTGACTGAAAATACCTGGCGGCTACACACTCACTGCCCATTCAGATGTATTAACAAATTCAAAACTGGCACTCCTCCTATAGTTTTTGATACATGTTCAATATATATTTTCTGTTTAACTATATTGTTAAGCAGAGTTAAGTGTAAAATACATCCTATGTCATTAAAAAAAAAAAAAACCCACCCGCTTTTAAAATAAACACTTATGATCCAGACTTGAATATTGAAACAATTAACAGCAGCACGGCGGCGGACGAAATGCAAAATGATCAACAACATCAGAATACAAGAATACAGTCAGTACACTGGTAGAACATAGCAGTACACAACTAATCAATACTGAACACAGAAAAGTGAGTCTTAATACATATATATATATATATATATATATAACTGTATATATACTGTATATATAGATATTTATAGGAAGGCAGATTAGCTTTGGAGAGAACAAAGTCACTCTATTCCTCTAAGACCTTACCAATAGCACTTAGTTTTTCTGTGTACACAAACGCGACTAGTACTCTGAGTGACATTGGCTACAACAGATTTAACTAGATTTGCCTTTTTTTTCTGGGCAAACATTTTTTTATGAAATGGTCTGCCAGTTCAATGTGGGCTATTCAACAGCCATCTCTGTATCATTTTAGATTATGTGACATTTAGTAGATCCTCATGCTGCCTTGAGTGGCCAGGGATTTAATTCCTAGATGTATTATATTGGCCCCATGATGAGAAAGAAGGGAACAGAACAATTGAATACAGAGGGCAATACTCCGGTGTTCGATCCTTAAAAGCGAGCAAGATTATTTGCCAATTTCAGTCAGCCCGCAGAAGGGCTAAATGTGGCTTCCTTTTAATGCGTCTGATGGTATATTTGATATTTTTCCACCTGGTGTGCGAGAGTGGCATGATTCACGCACCACCTCTCTGATAAGTGTGACTTCCTTTTCTCGCCCACTCACGGAAGATGCTGAGTTGCACACTGCAGCCGTGAATATAACATTAATTTTGCGTAAAAACCTATTACGCTCAAGACATTTTACCATTTGATAGCTATTTTGACATCTATTTGCAATATGTATGTGAATTTACATACCAATTTGTTATTATTTGTGCTGTGGTGTTAAAGTGGAAAACTAAAACGCACTGAGAAATGATTTCAAAAATTACTATTTCCATGTTCTAATATATTTAATAATATTTTCCAATCATACGACTCAGTGGTGGAGAACATGTTTAATGAAAGCTCCAGGCGTTTCCCTCATAACCAAATTAGAGACTACTTAAAGGGCATCCCATTCATTGACTGTTTGAATAATTGCTTTTGAACTTCAGCGAGGGCAGCCTTGTAATGACAGAGGTACACAAACAAAGCTAACACATTCTGAGCTGAATGGAGGCTGTCAGTGAACAGGGAGCCACCGAGAATGGCTTTGTGTTGCTGTGACTCATGATAACACACCTATCCCCTCCTGCTCACAGAGACAAAGACATGGGTAGCAGAGGGAAGCCGCATCACATCAAACGATGCAATTAGCTTTACGCCGGGCTAGCATTGTATTACGACACAAACGCCGCACAGTTTAATTAAATCCCACTTTCTTGTCGCCTGTTTAAAACCTAGTTATTGTAATATGCACAGCATATGAGGTGTCTTGCTTAGAAAATTCACTCTTCTACAGATGAATTTATTTTCTGAAGGATCATGTGCGTCCTGTTTTACAAGAGTTTGTTTCCAGTAGCTTCAAACTCATCTCTCTCGTGTAACATCTTCATTACTCAAAGTTTCCTGTAGGTTTTATTATTTGGCATCTTTACCTGTTAATACAACATACAGATTGTTCTACCTATCACAAGAAAAAAAACACTTGTAATCTTGCAGGTTTGCAAAATTGAATATTTAAATCTACTACATAATTTATAATATGAATACTCCCAGTGTTTTCCTAATTTATTTTTTAAGCAATGTACATTATAATATTCAGGATTTTGAGTAAGGTGCACATTTTACATTCAGAAGGAAAAAACAATTTAACCTAGAAGCATTTTAGCTTGGCATTTCACTTCCTGCCAGTGTAATGGAGAGAAAGAAAGGCTATAACTTGGCCAATAGATAAGGTCAAACTCTTAATTCTCTGCATCTAATGAGTGTCTGCTTTAGGCGTTTTTCATTATGTAAGGGTTTTTTTGTTAGGACAACTAGTTTCATATACACTTTTCTCATAAGCATTGATCCGCCTCAAGCTGTCTAACTAGTTTATACCATACCTCTATGTAAATGTACCCCTCCAAATTGCTTTCCCCTACATCGCTACACATAAGACTATACATCAAATCAAAATAAAGATCAGTCTGAAAAACTATATCTTAGTACATTGCAGGTATCAGCTATGAAGTACAGTGAAATTACCTTCTTAATTTAATGTATCTGCTACTGCTTTTTCTTTATACAAATGACTAAACTTCCAATTAATGCACGTTTTCTTTAACTACTCATACATATCAGTTAGAGACCTGTAATGTGGGTTTATGGCATGCAGTTCCTCTATAGATGACTCAAGATAGATGTATCACAGCCTGGTGGCCTTTCTGAGTCTCTTTCCCTGTGTTAATAGAAGAGTGGTATAAAGAGGTCTATGCTCTAATGTTTAGGTAAGATGCAATCTATTCTAGTCTTTGTAATAATAATCATTATGAGCCAGCCATGGGTTCACTGTATACTTCCAATCAAATGTCAACTTGTGCATCGAATCATATGTATTTTCCACACGCAGTTTAATGGATCACTTCCTGAGAGCTAATATTGACAATACATCATCTACATTTCACTCTCATAAGACTTCAGTAGTTTCCAATGTTCATGTACACTGCCATTCCTTCACAGTATGAATATTATAATAATAAGTGCTACAGATTAAAATGCTGGAAAAGTCCTGCTTCTTGTACTTGTTGACAAGACAGTTCTTTTTTTTAAACTCCCTTTAAAATCCTTATTTCCATGTGCCAGCAAATACAGATGAACAGCCTTCTTTTGTTTTCTCCGCCAAGGTCACAGTTACAGTTTATATGAACTAAAACATGGCTAATGTTGTACCATATACACCCAGTCGTGTGGCATCTATCGTCATTGCCGCTCACACCTCAGACCACCATGGGAGTGTCTGAGAAGACGGAACTGATGGACTCTGCTACTGACTTCTTCCTCTTGCCCTTCATAAGAGAACCAGCCTCTGCATCCATATCATCATCATCCTCATCCTCATCCCCATCCCCATTGGGGTTTAGCTTGCCGTTTTGGCCCTGCAAGTCCTTGGAGTCTATGAATGCCACGTGCCTGTTCAAATCGGCCTTCAGCGTTGGTTCCTCATGGGTCGGTGTCACACTGAGCATGGACGAGTGGATGCTGTCCTCACCCCGCGTCTTTCCTTTGTTGGGGCAACAGAAGCAGCGACACGGTGTCAGGTAAAGATAGATAAGCACCAGAACCACACTGGCCAGACAGCCCACTAAGGTTGTGTAAGCTGTGTTCAGGGAGTCCCCAATCCCTTCCATTGTAAAGTTGTGGACCTTCAGTACCACATAGATTGTTTCATTGAAGGCCTCGCTTGTCGCAAAGCAAGTGTACGTCCCAGAATCCTCGTTCCTCACTGAAGTAATCTGCAGCTTACCATCTTGAATGACTTTGGCGGTTTGGTTGCTTCCAGGCGTCACCACGACATTACCGGGCATTATCCAGGTCTTTACCATGTCCTTGTGTTTGGTGTCACAGCCAAGAATCAACCTCTGCTCCAGAAATGCCTCTTCATCTGCCTCCTTGAATGTGCTGCAGTTCATGTGATAACCGCTGAGTTCAAAAACACCCACTTTGGTTTTTTGAGGGCCAGGCAGGATACATGTGTATTCATCTTTAAAATCCACAGCAGAGTTGAGCTTTCGAATATACCAATGGGCGAGGAGTGTGTAGAGATCACAGTGACACAGCAGAGGGTTATTGTGAAAGTAGAGGCCATTTTTAATCCAGGCAGGCAGTTCCTGGAGTTCATCAACGACTAGCATCTTGATTTTGTTTGAGGACACATCCAGCAGACTAAGGTTCTCTAGACGGGACTTTTCCTTGACCAGCTCCGCGGGAAAGCGGGAGATTTGGTTTTGACTAAGGTAGAGCTTCTGAAGTTTGACCACGGTGATAAAGGCTGCGCGGTTAATCTGGGAAATTTGGTTATTATACAGCAAGAGGACCTCCAGGTTGACCAAAGGTTCAAAGATGAACTCGTCCAGCAATTCCAAGTTGTTTGAGGACAGGTCCAAGTAACGTAGGTGCTTCACATTTAGGAACGCCTCTGAAGACAGGAAGTTGAGACCATTATGGCTGAGTAGGAGGTTATGGAGCTTCGGGAGCTTGGCCGGGGTCCAGTCAGCTCGCAGCCTTTCTATCTCATTGTAGCTGATATCCAGCACAGCAGTGTAAAGTGGTATACCTCTCGGGACGTAGGTCAGATTCATCTTGGAGCAGCTCACTATGTTTGAGGCGCAGATGCATGTCTTGTGGCAGTTTAGGATCGATGCCGTCGCCCCTGGAAGCCAGAGGAGAGCCATGCAAAGGGTCAAGGAGAGGACCCATCTTGGACGCTTTCTCCAATGAGGTAATGTTTCCAACAGGAAGTCACCTGTTCTGGTGGAAGGCTGCAACATGCTAGCAGTTGATCTAAATCCCAGAGAGGTTTACTAGGATCCCAATCTCAGAGAACAACAGGGAGGAGCAGTTGGACGATTCCCAGGCATTGCTGACTGAAGGCTGAAAAAAGCAAAAACAAAAGCCGATATTATTAATAGACGGGAGTGCATATTGTGCTTTGTATAAGAATATTATTATAACCTAAACACGTATGAACATTTATGCAGCCATGGGAAAAATATTCAAATTCCAACACTACCACAATGGTATAGTGAGATACAATCTGAGATACAAATGAATGAAAATGTGAACCTGCTTTCACTCCCACAATGACAAGTCTTTTAATACAGAGACACACACTAAATAAGTGATGCTGTTGCTGATGTTTCAAAAGCTTTAAACTGTTTGTCATGTCTGATAATGATAGGTAAAAAACATGTCACTTTCAATTATGATCCCATTAGTCATCCATATGCAACATTCCAATAAACACACCTTGCATGGTCATAAACAAACACAAAGAAGCATTTATTTATTTAATTGATTCAGTAATTAGATTAATTGAGAAGAATAGTTCCTTTCAACCAGTATTTCAATGTAGTGGCAATCAATACAATTGCTTTATAAAGCTGTGGAGTAGTTACAACCATAGCATTTCTTTTTTTAAATGTTCTGTTGTTTTGCAAGTAAAAGTTTAAATCACAAGAAAGTAGTGTGCAGCCTGGAATCATGGCACAGCATCCACTGAGTGAATTAGCTACATCTCAAATGTCCTCCAAGAGTAAAATATTAAAGTAAAGTAGGCCTTTGCATTGTGCATACTGCACAGTACTTAAGTACATGTCTTAAGTTACTTCTCACATCTGTGTTCCTTTTGGAAACGCATTATGACATGTAAGGATCCACTCTCTCGAGCCTACTCAAGCATATTGTATACAATGCAAACTCCCTCCTGCTGCTTCCGCTATAACAAATGTGCCAGCACACTACTCAGCTAAACCATGTGCATTCACACTCTGGAAAGATCATGCAATGATTTTCTTCCTCTTCTTATTTTTATCTTTCTCTCCCCCCCCCCACACACTCTCACTCTCTTTCTCTCTTATTTCTCAGATAGAACAAGACAATTCCACACTAAAACGCAGAAATCAAATAATAAAACACATACAAATGTGAAATCATGCAAATATAAGCCTACGTTATGTAATTTTTCGGAAATGCCCTTACCAATTTGAGGAAGAGCTGTGCAAACGTTGCATTGCACCATTCTGCTCGAAAACAAACGCGCACAACATGGAAACGTGAGCCGAGAGATGGAGAAAGAGACCGAGCAGACACCTACCTTCAACCTATGATGGAGCGATGTTATATTTGATGAAAACGGCTCCTCGCCTGTTTACAATGGTGCTCCAGACAAAAAGTCCCAGTCTGAATGAGTCCGTGTGTCTGCTGTTGAGGACAACAGCGGATGTGGGGAGGAGGGGAGAGCACTAGAGATCTCCTCGGCAAAATAATCCTGGTCCACGCGGCATCAATGTACCCTGTGCATAATTGGGGGGGAAACGATGACGTAAAGAGAAGACGTTCTTAACTGCTGACAATAACCGATGAGCGTGTGTTAATCAGCTGGACGTATTGCTCTGTAAACACATGAACGCACACCCGAGTTGGCGCCTTTCGGGCAGGTTCGGCTCCTGTCGGCTCTCATCAGCAGCCATGGAGATAATGAGCAATCTGCGGCTCACCAGCTTCCTGTGGCTCCTCGCAGGCCTGCTGCTGCAGTAGTGATCGACGTGTTTTCGACAGAGGTGGTGCTCTCAAACCCAGAAGGCATTGTTTACCCAAGGTGGCCGCAAAGAAGATGCGCAGCCAAGACGCAAAAATAGTAAAACCCAGAGAGAGCTGAAATGAAGTCCAACGGGATTAGAAGAAAGCTATGCTGTACTGCTGTTGGAAACAGTTACTGATGGTTTTACATCTTCATCAATATCACACTCATTCTAGTATGATCAATAAGGAGATCTGTATGTAATTGACTCAATATTCAATATCTTCTTTGTGACCCTTTGATCTTTCCCCTCATTATAATGTCTTGTTGACCTTTTGGTCCAATTTAGAGACATCACATTGCAGTGTCATTGTCAACCAAAAGTGATACAGCGATAACACTTTTTGTGATGTTTACTTTTTGGCTAGCTGAAACAAACACCCAGGTGGCTGGATGTTCTTGTATGTCTTATCTAAATTAGACATATAGGTCACCAACATGCAGCTGAATGTGGCCCTACTGAGCACTTGGCAATTCCCCATGCAGTCCATCTTCACTCTACCATTTGATAGCTGAATAGTTTAGCAATCACAGTCATGTTTTGACTACTGCCACTATTTTTATTTTGTCACCATACAGGTACCCATTCATAAACTGAACAATCTGTGGTTGATTAATTCTTCTAGGGCTTTGAATTAGTAATACTCTGTATTGGTTGTCAGTTCGTGAATGGTTATTCAGCAGCATTGAAGTCTTTGTGTTTTTGGCCTTGTTGGTGAAACATACAAAACAAGCAGCACATCTGATTCCAGTCTTTGAGGGCTTTAACATGTGATGATATACATTACTCCTCAAATTAGGGCATTTCTGTGGGTGTTCAGCTGTTGATTAGCCTGGTAAAAAAACTGGTTTAACTGTTTACATCAGAACATTACTTGATGGCTAAGCTTTGTCTTTTCAGCCTTTTCATGTCTCCTAATTGTGCCCATTTAATTGTTACTCAATGTGCAGACTCTGTATATGTATTTGATTAAGTCTGTTTATGAGCGGTGACTGAGCGGGGAAAACCTTGTCATTTTTTACTCAAGTGTATCCGCCTACATGCCTTTTGGGATTTTTTTTCTCGGGTTTTCCTGAATTCATAGATATGCTGCAGCTAGCCTGGCAAGCTTTAAGAGCCTGAGTATGTGCCAATAAGCTGCTACACCAATGTGGCCGCCTACTCAAAATGCCACCAGAAATCATTTTATAAATGAATATTAGCATGGGGAACAGAATATTTTAATGTCATATGAAATATATTCACTTCAGAACGCTGCTGCCAGAGTCCTGACCAAAACAAAAAGAGTAGAACACATCACCCCAGTACTCAGGTCTCTGCACTGGCTACCAGTAGCTTATATCATCGATTTTAAAATGATATTGTTAACTTATAAAGCATTAAATGGTTATGTCCCAATATATGTCTGACATGTTGCCGTGTTACGAGCCCCCCAGAGCTCTGAGATCATCGGGGGCGGGCTTACTCATTGTTCCCCGGCTCAGAAGCAAACACGCCGAAGCTGCTTTTAGTTTTATGCTCCCCACAAATGGAACAAACTTAGCACTTACCGTATTTACAATGTCGTTTTTAAACTCTTTTGTATCTCATTAATGCATTGTTTTTATGAATCTGTTATTCCATTATGTTTATTTATTGTATTCCTCTCTGTTGTCTTCTTATTAAGTGTTAATGATCATGTAAAGCACTTTGGTAATACATTGTTTTTATTAATCTGTTATTCCATTATGTTTATTTATTGTGTTTCTCTCTGTTCTACTATCATATGTTAATGATCTTGTAAAGCACTTTGAATTGCCTCTGCTTCTGAAATGTGCTATATAAATAAACGTACCTTTCCTTACCTTCTAAATATCAGGATGACAGACCAGGTGGTCAGCACTATCGGTCAGCCTTGAAGTCCATTCACTCTGTCATTTTCATCTGCGACAATCATTTTGCTTTGACTAAGGGCGGAGTCAGCAGTAGAGGAAAGCAGACTACATAATATCAACTGACCTCTTTTCCTTGCTGTGCTTTTAATACGACTTGCATTTCAGCTGTTTTGCAGACATTGTTATCAGGATTTCTGCAAGATTGGATCCCTGCCCTTGTGAGGCAGACGAGCATGGCAGGGTAGATGTGATTTCAGAAACTCTGTTGGAGCTGGACTTGCCTTGAAAAGCTGTGCTTTGGCAGGTAATACAAACATATTTGAAGCAGACTGAAATTCAGGCAGACATCCCTCATGCTTTGTTTTTTAAGAAAATGTATTGCCAAATAAATTCTCCAAGCACACCATAAATTATTGGAAACAGATTTAACTTATCTCCCTGCAAAGCAAAGTGTTTATGTTGACACATAAAGAGTGACACGAATGGACTGATGTAATAATATTTCTCATAAATGCAGTGTTTCCTTTAATTACTTCCTAAAGACATCTCATTCCTGCTAGAAAATCTTGTAATACAGGTATAAACCAGTGTGCCCGAACACAGAGAAACCTCTGTGTGACCAGAGCACTGTAGCGCTGACTCTCATGAGATGGTGCTGAAAGTGATTAATGTTCGACTCCACTTCCTGCTGTGATAGGGATAGTGTTGCCTGGCAACTGCTTGCGGCCTTTCGTTGACTGTTTTGGCATGGTGGCAAATCTGAGGTGGCCTTGCCTTCTCGTGTTTATCTCTGTGCACCTGCTCAGATGGGATTTCTAGCACAGATCGATTGCAGGATGTGGGTAAGAAAAAAACCTGCACTTTCTCTCCATGAACCCAGGGACACACATCTGCTCCTACAGTAGATTTACTTTCCTACTTCATAATTTATCAGCATATGTTTAACATGGGACCGAACCTCTTTCTTTATCTGCAAAGCTGTCAGTCAGCGCAGGCAGAAATCCCTGACTCCAAATCTTATAAATCATTAAGTAGTGGTAGTGTTGTTGAGTGATTATGGCTCTTGTAACGGCTCAGCCATTTCTTTGTCTAAGATGGCCCGATCACAAATGGTAACGCATGGAGAGACTCTTTCTGAAAGCTAGTTACCTCATTAAACGACTGTGAGGATTATCAGCAAGATCTCACGGTCACAGCGATGTAAATGATGTTTACATACAGCAGGCCCTGAGCTCCACCTGCCTCTCTGCTGACATAGTAAACACACACACTTGTCCCTGAGCTGACTGGTTTACACAAAAATAGTCCACACAACTGGATGCAACCAGACTCCATGCTGGCTGAGTTAGACCAGCTGCCATGTCCACAACATGGCACAAAATACCAATGTTGTGATAACACTTATTGTCATATTATTGTTTATACACATGCAATAACAACAACATTTGCATATCATCCCTTCACAGGGTAGTATGGTAAACATGTTTGCTAACTTTTGCATCTTAGATACAAAGCAACACTATCACTCATTTGGAGTTGAGTTTCTGACCACCTGGCACATAATTTCAATATTCACTTCACTCTTCTCATTAGCTCTGTTTTTGCTCCCTACCCATTTCTGTGCTGCAACTGAAAGCAATGTTCCGTGAGAGAATAATATGAATATTCACTGGAAGCAAACAAATTGTAGGCCTTAGACACTACTGGTACCCTGCTGTGGGAATACATGCAAATACTAAGGTAGCCTGCTTCTTTGCAAAAATGATGTGAAAAACCATCAACGATGTGACTTTGTTTATCCAATGGATGTAAGGGACAAAACAAAAGATGGATCTTGGGAACAATGATCTTCCATAGACATGTATACACGGCAAGCAAACACTAAACCCCAACCAACTTTCCAGGCAAATCCTCCCCTTCATTTTTTTTTCAGTGATTCGTCAACAAGATTATTAAAAGACCTTTGGCACAATTTTCATGAAATGGGGAGAAGCCTGCGAGCTAGTTCAGGCAGTCAACTCGAGAACCTATACATTTACACGTGACGCGCCTCGTCCCTCTTACAACCAACCAAACACATTCTCCTATGCTCTATTTAAGCTCTATTGAAGCTGCCAGGTCTTGCTGCCTCTGCCTCGCTATGCTGCTGCTGCTGCTGCTGCTGCTGCTGCTGCTGCTGCTGCTGCTGCTTCCACGTTGCTGCTGCTCGCCTGCCCCACCACCCCAGCTTCCACTCCAGCATCCACCTGTATGCTAGGGGGCATAGTTATTTAATCATCACTCAATGTTCGATGTAAATCTGTGGAGTGATGATGCCCGAGGCTAGATGCCAATCTCTTACTATATGCTGCTTCTAATGAACNGTAAAAGGGTGAAGCATGGGCCAAGGAACTGTCAATAACATTTTGGAACCAACCTAAATAACCAGCTAAATACACACATTATTTTCACCTCGGGGGAATTCAAGTCCATCTTAAAGGACAGAAAACAAGAAACATTGGTAGATGTGAGTGTTCGTATATCCCAAAATTGAAGTCGTTTTACATTTTGAAAGTTTTTAATGATTTTTAATAGTTTATTTTATTTTGCATATTGACTGGCTAATGTGCCATTTTATTTGTGTTTTACAGCTGTATTTGTCTACCTGTATTGTCTGTGTTTTATCTGTTGTAACTTTGTTCATGCTGCCCTTCTTGGCCAGGTCGCTCTTGGAAAAGAGATTTTAATCTCAATGAGTCTTTACCTGGTTAAATAAAAGATATATATATATATTATGGCCTTGGTGGAGGTCAGTGCCTTTCTTGTTTGATATTAGTAATTATATGCAAACTAAGCTTTTCCCCTGATTTGTCAGTAACGTGTCACCTAAGCCCTGTGGAGCAACTTACTTGCATCCTAAAGTTCAGTGGGTCATAACTGTACATTTCTATTAACAACTAGTTTACATGTATGTTGATGAAATGAAGATTAATGTCACGTTAATTTATTCCATATTAGTTCACTTCTCTCTTGATGGTTATACCTGGCTAGTGTAATTCTTTATTGCAGGAGACACAAGAACAGCATGCACCAAAGACAAAGTA